ACGCCAAATACGCATAACCTTTACTCTGTTCATTATATGTAAGTGTGAACTCGTGAAATGTAAATGTGTGTGTGTGAGAGAGAGAGTGTGTGTGAGAGAGAGTATGTGTGTGTGTGTGTATGTGGTGAGAGTGTGTGTGTGTGTGTGTGTCTCTGTCTCTGACTCGTTTCAGCAGTGATCTGACGTCCTGTGGCTCTGACTGATAGTCTGAAGAGCTTCTGAGATCTTCTGATGAATCTGTTTCTCTGTTCTTCAGGTGGGAGCTGACAGCCATGACCACCAACAGTAACATCAGCCGGCCCATATTCTCCTCCCACGGCTGACGGCGCGTCAGAACCAGCGCCAGAACTCTTTCAGGACGTCCCGCTCCACAGATGATCCGGATTGAAGCTTCTCGATTGGAGAGGTCTTTCCCTGCCGGGCTTTGGCGCGGACGAGCAGCGCTTTGCTAGTCTGATTTTGCCACTGTTGAACTTGATTCCTGCTGAGGAGAAACAGACGTTCACACTCTTAAATCAGTCCAATTATTCATCAGTGTTACAGTGTTTTAATGAGGTTTTGGAGTGAAATGAAGATCATTCAGCCTGTAATCTGTCAGTTCTCTGCTTGTGTGTTCAGATCGCTCCGTCGGGTTTATATGCAAGACTCTGTTAGGGTTACACACGTGCTCTTACATATCGAACGCAGAGATGATGTTCCGAGAAGAGGAGACGTGTCTTGAGTTCCTCTTCTTCTAACTCGACTGGTTTTCTGTTTACCCACAGTGCTTCTGACAATAAAACCTGACTCAACAATCAATAGAAATGGAGATATTCCCTCTGCATGCGTTGTCCTGTTAAATCACATTCAGCAGATCTGCTGGCTGACAGTAAATACTCTCTGTCTTCAGACTGTCTTAGAGTTCAAAGAGTGGTAATGATGTTGTAAGCTTTTCATAAGGTCACACCGAAAGATGTTTGACATCGGAGCGAATCAACACCGATCAAATAACCTGCCTCTGGTGTTTTCCAACAAACGCAGCCGAATCATGTTGAGTTTCTCCAGGTTCACATCTTTCACACACAGTCTGGATTGCCAGAGATGTATTAAAAATTATCCATTACTGCAGTTTTTTAGCATCGCTTTATATTTCATCTGAATCTTTACTGATCTGCAGAATATTGATAGTTACTGAGGTGAAGCTCATGTAGACGTCAGTATTCGTGAGTCTGCCGGGTGACCATGGCCTTTATTTGAGTCCTGCGTCTCGTCCAGTGCCTGATTTATTGTTCAGAGCGTCAGAAGGTCTGGAATCAAAGTGCTCAAAGTCTTTTGGGTTTTAAAGGCCTCTGGTCCAGATGGATTTGAAGCGTTTTATTTGCGATTGTGTCTGAATATCTGACATTGAACTGTCATAATGAAGATTGTGCAAATGTACCGCATCAGAAAATTCAACCGTCCTCAATCGTTTTCCCTCATTATAAACCATGATTTGAATAAACGGTCTCAAAATGAAACCAGGTGAAGCTGAAGTCTTTGTTTGGATCAAATGTGTTTTCGTGCGGATCTGTAGCTCATGCAGACGGATGGTCAGGAGAAGAAAGAGGTGATGGTTTAGTGATGTCTCTGTGATGCTGTCATGGTCTAACAGACACGTGCTAATATAGTCATGTTGTCTATGTAGTGAACGAGAGGAAGAGACTATCGTGTATGTTCTGAGTGGCCAAGTACTTCTCTGGATTAGTGTAAATGCTGGGGTTCTGAGGCGCTTTGAATCGTGTTGGGCTGCTGGTGTGTGAAGGAACCGACACTGAGCTGCAGACGTGATTCCTGCATGCTGGATCAATCTTTTCCACGACTTACTCGACTTGTAAATGCGTTTTTAGTGGGATCTTGAACTTCCTGAACAATAAAACTGACGATAATTTTGCTTATTGTCTGCTTAAATGTACCGTGTGAAGTGTTGTGTGTGTGATATAAAAAGCACATTGAGAACTGTTTCCTGAAGACAAATTTGAGAAGACGTGATTAAATAAAAAAATATTTTTAAATGAACATTTATTTCTCCAAAATGAAAAATATTTCTTTATTAATCCACAGTTTTAGACATCCTGAGTTTGGCGCTTTTGCAGTATTATTCTGATTAAAGATGAAAGTTTTCTTTGAAGCCTTTATGTACTGTATAATGCATTCTATAGATATTCATGATGTACGTAGTAATGAATTTTTTCATAATTGTAAGCAAAGCTAAAATGCATTATAATATTTGCACATTTCTTGTTGAAATTGGTTGTGCTTTAATGCATTATACTTTCTAAAGATGTGACGATATAAGTATTGTATTTTAACTGTGGTTGCGATTATTCATGAAATCATATAATGCATGATAAGGTGCATTACAAAGCACAATTAATGCATTGAAATTCTTTTGTAATGCATTATATATAAAGTGTTAAAGTTTCTCCATTCCTGCATCTGATGACCAATCAAAGCACTTCATCTTAAAGGACCATAATGCTCCGGCACGAGCGTCTGTGAGTGTTATATTCACACACACACACACAGCTTGATATTCTTAATGTGCTCTAGAGGCTCCAGCAGCATCTTCACGAATGAAGCGTGATGGATTTGGCTGATCTCTCAGTGGACGTGACCTTAATGGGCTTCTATTGAGCAAAGGTTGTGAAAGCTAAAGGTTAACTGCTGGAGGATTTGTGATGGGACGAGACCCACCTGTTGGCCGGCTCGTTTTCACAGGAACCTTAAACTTGTGCCTTCAGCCCCGCGCTAATGACTGAAGCTCGCGTGTTCGTCGTCGCTCTCTCCGGGGGCCCAAATAGAGCATTCAACTCATGTCGTGTCAGGAGCCCGTGCTTGTTTTGACCTCGATGCCAGTCCCTGGAGTCAAACGCTCTTCAGCGCCGACATCACATGAACAAACCCGAAGTGACTGTGATGAATCACCTGAAGAAGATTTCTGCTGACCTCTGACAGCTCTGCTGAGCATTCACTCGCTCCCAGAGAACAGACGTATTTGTTTCTGATCCGCTGCCACATATGGATGCATTAAACTAACAGTAAACCAATGAAAGCAGCTGAAGATCTGAACGATCAGTACAGAAGCGTGTTCTGATCGATGCTCCAGACGGATCGGGCTGTGGGAGATTCAGCGGCGTCTGTGAAAGCAGAAACACATGAAGATCTTGTTCCTGTGCAGACGTCTGTGTCGCAGCAGCAGTGTGTTCATGTCTGTCAGTAGCGCTGCTATAAAGTCCTGGTTATCTACAGTGTTAAGTGCGGCGGCGCTGCAGACGGGAAACTCCACAGACCCACTTTATTCTGACGACCTTCATATAAAACATTTGCTTCTAGTCTGAGCTTTGCTTTGACTTGATCCAGCTCTGAATGCTCAGCGGCTCACGCTGAACCCAAACCAGACGGCTCTCCGTCACTGAGACACTCATCTTCAGGCTTCTTCAGCCTCTGCAGATCACGCTAAAGGCTGGAAGACACTACATGACTTTTGTCCTGATCTGCTGACACTAGCTGCTGGAAGTCAGGGTCAGTCTGCGGATGTCGGTCGCTCAGATTTGACAGAAGATCACGCAGTATATGATGGACACACTGATTTTTAGCTTTACTTTAGATAAACATGTTTCCTCTGTTGTTGTTCTGCCTCCTAACCCTAAAATAAAACATTTTCTGCATGAAACATCTCTTGAGATAGCTGTTCACGTGTTTATAACCTCTCGACTGGACTGGTGTGATTCTTTGTACTGTGGCATCTCGAAGTCCCAGGTTGCTCGCTTACAATTGGGACAAAATGCTGCAGCCAAATTTCTTAAGAAAGGTCGAGTTTGATCCACTCCTTGTTTGCGAGCTCTTCATTGGCTCCGAGTTCACTTTAGGATCAATTTTAAAATTCTCCTTTTTGTATTTAAATGTTTACACAACCTTGCCCCACGTTACTTATTGGAATTGCTGCATACTTCTAGCCCTGGCAGAGATGTAAGATTGGTAATGAAAGCCTACTGATGGGTCCCTGCACAAGCCTGAAACACAGAGAACGGTCTGCCAGCGCACCTCAGTGTGCTCCATCTTCAGCAGTTTCTCTTCTGGAAACCCACTTGTTTTCTTTAGCTTTTAAACGTTGAGCATGTTTTTTTGTATGTGTTTTTCTTTTTTTGACCGTGTGATTTTGTACAGCACTAGGGTTAGCTATTTTGAGCCAATTTTATATCACATGTTCAATTGTAATTTTTGTAGTGAATCAGAAGTCTGTCTGTGAGATCCTCAGTCGTTTAGTGTCTGATGCCCCAATTGAATCTGAAATCATTTACTATGGCAAGTGTCTGATGTCTAGTGTTTTAACCCTCATTCTGAACCAGAGAGGATTTTCTTTTCTGTTTCCCTGAAAATGCTAGTGAATATTAAAGCATTGGACTAAGGTTTACTGACTCCTGCTCACACAGGACAGAACAAATTCACAAAGTTTTTTTTGTTACACTCAAAAAATGGCCTGACTACAAAACATTGTTTATAAATGTCTTGTTATGCTATTATCACCAAATCTTGGATCAGTCTTTGTGTCACCTTGTTTTCTTTCAATTAGCACAGGGTTTGTTTTGATTGAACATTAATGTGAGCTTATGCACCTCAGTTTCTGAGCCAAAATTATGCACAAATGTTTTTTATTTATTTTAATTAATTAAAAAAAATTGTCACTCAAAATTTGTTCCTAAATAAACACAAAACCTGTGCTGGTTGACAGAAAACAAGTTGATAAAAAGATTAAATCCAAGATTTGGTGATAATATAGAATAATGACAGATTTACAAACGATTACTTTTGACTGAGAACACAGAATTAGGTGAAGGATTTCCAGCAGCACAAGGGTTCAAATCTGTTCTGATTTTCAAAGTCATGTAGTGTTTTACAGTCTTAAATCACACAAACTTCACAAAGTGTGCCTTTGCGTGAGGCTTGAAAACTGAAGAAACCTGATGAAATGTTATTGTGTCTTGACTGTAATGTGATCAAACTCCCCGTGAAATAACTAACTGTTAATACTGATCTGTGTGTGTGTGTGTGTGTGAGAGAGAGAGAGAGAGAGAGAGAG